TCATCACAAGAGTCCAAGCACAACATTTCTTTGGACAGATATACCAACTTGTAAGTGGTATTATTGGTGAATTAATCAAATATTGACAATAAACTATGTCAAACAATAAATCTATTTTTGGACCGATTTATTGTTCACATCAAAAAACCTTTGCAAGTGTCACATATTTATTATGACGAGTGTGCATATAATTTGACCAAACATTTGCCTTCGTTTGGGCTAGTAAATGTCCTCATGAATTACAAACACACAACCATCTTGATGTCCCAAAATAACTTAGCTTAGACAAGAGAGATTGTTTTAGCAATATGTTGTTTCAACTAATAAATTTAGAACATTAGATAACCTAAATAAATTTTAATATCAAGATTTGAATTATAATTGTTAATTCATTACTTTTATTTTTTATTTCTTTTTTAAAAATAAATAAATTTAAAGCTAGAATAGCGCCTAGAAGCCGTGTGTGCCTGCAGCTGTCAAACCACAGCGTCGTAGCACTGCGATGCTGCTATAATGCTAGAAAAATCCAAACAATTCCATATTTTTAATCTAGGGTTTGAAATTCACATCCCAAATTTTATAAAACTAAAGTATGAATTTCAACCCAAAAAAATCTTTCTTTAATCTCAATGGTTTTACATGAATTGACTCTGATTCCATTTGTTGAATATTTATGAAACTTAAACTTTATAAACTTTATATAATTACTAAGATCTACACGTCCAATTACCAAAAAAATTAATAATTGCGTAGCAGACCTTGATCCATGAATTATATTTTGAATATTAAATCTTGAAACTTGAATTGCAATCCTTTAATCTTGACTTTTAGGTCTTTAAACTTAATTTCTTCTTCTTCAATTTGATTGCTTCAATCCTTTTTTTATGAATTCTTGGATCTTCATCTTCAATATGTTTTCTCTTTGTATTTTTGTGTTGATTGGATGACATAAAGAATGAGAAAATTACATATGAATTGGAGACCATATCTCTATATATAATTTTGATATTTATTCGGCCTATCGCCAAATACAATCCTAATGGATCAATCTCTACACATAATCAGTCCAAACTTTATTTAGATGCCCAAAGTCCAATTACTTAATCCTTTTATTAGATCACTTTAATTTTGAGCTTAATTTTAAGATGACCTTTATACAAACTTTTAATCATATATGTAGACTTACATGGCAAATTAATATTTTTCCCAATAGTTAGTTATTCCTTAGAATGGGGAAGTGCCTACTGTCTACTTCTTTCCCACGAATTAGAGTCTTTCTAAGAGTCCTGAAGAGACAGTGAGAGGTAGACATAATGGTAAGGCTTCTTTAACTTCAAGATCTGTAACTGAAGAAGTTATATTATTTTTTTCAAAGAAATTTATTCTCTTACACAAAAAAAATTGCAGTTGTTCTTCTAAAGCTTAGCATATCTTAGTTGGGCTTTATTGGATAAAGAACTACTCTCATATTTATTGTTTTCTCCAAAAAAAATCTTCTCTTCCGCGATGTTAGATCATGAGAAGAATTTAATTATCAGAGAATCGAAACCTAAAAATTTCGCCAAACCTAAATCTAAACCTAAAAATGTCTCCCATTAGATTCAGGTGTAGGACTAAAAATTACGGTGTTTTGCTTAAAAAACAAAGCATATAGACGTGTAAGAGTTCAAATTAATTAGATTTAACATCAAAATCTTATATGTACTACATTAAAAGAAGCAAAAGTATTTTTAACTTGTCAAACATAGGTAATATGTAAAGGTTAATGCACATGATTTTCAATCCTAATTGTACGTTATTAACTTTTTAATTAATAATTAACTGCTTGATAGTGCTCTCTTTGTTGTGCATAGATTATTATTCTACTGATCAACGGGGAAATTTATGGCAATTACCCAGACAATTATTGGCCAGATGACCATTACTTAGTACTAGTCATGTGGATACTATAAACAAAGACTTCATTATTTCCAATAATTTTGGCGCATCTTAAACTACCTTTAGCAAACACTCCAACAATCATATTATCGAATTTAAAATCTTATAGGCCTTTGGCCCTCATGACAGCCTACAGTATGAAAGAGTATTATTGTTAAAAAAATAATAATAATAAAAAAAATTAATATTATATGCGTCTGTGGACGTTGATTGGTGTAAATCATAAACAAATTGTATGGTCATTAGAATATCGACATTCCAGCTAAATATGAGATCTAGTGAACCTCTTCAATAATAGTCATGTGGATACTATAAACAAAGACTTCATTATTTCCAATAATTTTGGCGCATCTTAAACTACCTTTAGCAAACACTCCAACAATCATATTATCGAATTTAAAATCTTATAGGCCTTTGGCCCTCATGACAGCCTACAGTATGAAAGAGTATTATTGTTAAAAAAATAATAATAATAAAAAAAATTAATATTATATGCGTCTGTGGACGTTGATTGGTGTAAATCATAAACAAATTGTATGGTCATTAGAATATCGACATTCCAGCTAAATATGAGATCTAGTGAACCTATTACATAATTTTTAATATTTTAGATACGTAAGATTTTATTAAGAATCTTTATCTTTTCACCTTAGGAACTAATGAATTTATGAGACATATTCAAGATAATTAGATTGCTTAAACGGTGAAAGTTATTCGTGGAGTTCTTAAAGAATGAAAATATGAAGTACTGAATTTCAATTTGAATTATTAATAAACGACACGATGTTAAAGATGTAGTAATAGAAATAATCATGTTAAGATAGAGAGAGTCATACTAAAATAAATAACATAAATTCATAAAAATACAAGTCAATATGTGTCCACAAGATGAAAATAACATATTAGAAGGACATAAACATGATTGAGGCATATTTGCAGCAACTTAAAAAATCTTTTCCAAGTGATATGATTGCAGTAGAATATATAAAAGAAGAAGAAGAAGAAGAAGAAAGAAAGCCAAAATTAACACGGCAAGGCGTGGAAGAATTTTTTTCTAATTTTTATATTTAAGAACAAATAAATTACTAATCCGTCACTAACCCATTTGAAGATTCCATTAATATTATCAACATAAAATGTTGTCATTGATTGCATAATCGCAAGAGTGATAACAATGATAGAATAAAGAAAAGCCAGCGTCACTTAGAAAATTTCTCCATTCATCCCCACGTTTGATGCGGATATGATGTTAGCTACTGTGAATGTCTATTTTCAAAAATACCTTAGAACTCCCAAGCACATCTAACATGTTCTCCAATAATAGAATGGGAAACATATCTGTTATCTTATTGATGGAACGACTATCTACCCACATACGCCACTTTCCATTCTTCTCTGGCACTAAGAGGACAAAACTGCACACGAACTCATACTCTCCCTTATGAATCCTTTCTTCGAAAATCAGATCTCTAAATTGTATCACTATTTCTTGATCCCCAGGTGGAACATTCTCATCTTCCTTATTTGTTGTAAAAGCCCCTTGACCACTATTGGATAAAAACAATTAAACTTCTTTGCTTGTTTAAGATGAACCATAGGGATCTTATAACTACCCCATGAAAAAGAGTACCACATTATCACGCGAGAGTTGAATCCACATCAAACCACCATGGACAACCCAATAAGATATGGAAAGTAACCATGCCTATAACATTACACGTAATTTCATCCTTATAATGCTAACAAATGGAAACAGGTACTTTACAAGTTTCAACAACCTAAACAAACGAACCTCTCTTCACCCACCCAAGAGAATAATGTTTAGAATGATTCTTATTTGTTAATTTCAACAAATTCACCAACATCATTGGTACAAAGTTCTCACAGCTTTCGTTGTCAACATTCACTTCACATACTTTATTCTTAATAGAATAAAGCAAATAAAAGATGCAATAGTGCTACCCCTCTTCTTTAGTCAACAAAAGGACCCACTGCAATGCCAAAGTAAGCCTTTCCACACCTTCCTCAATTGCAAACTCGACCCCTACATACTCATCTTTCACCTTAGTGTCTTTATCATCTTCCATTGTCTCTGATTCCACCAAATTATCCTACCTTCTTTTTGGATTGGTATTAGAATGATGCCCAGGCTTGTGGCATCTATAATAAATGTCTCTTGTGGGCTTACCATACGGATTTGCATTATGAGGTGTGCTTTGTGTTGACCTCTATTTCCAAATTGATCACTATTGTCAGCATTTCTCCTGTTAGGATTGGCTAGGGTTTGTTGTGGGACATTTCCTTTGCCTGAAAGAACGAACAATGATGGTTCGGTAGATGCACAACGAGAATTTTCTGTTTTTCCTATAAATTCATATGTGGGGGAAATGTTCTTATGTGGGAAAAAAATCTTTACAAATAGAAACATTTTTGTAGGCATATTTGCGGAGCAAACATCAACGGGACAAGTAAAAGACGACAATTTTTTAAATTTGTAGGCTAAAGTTTTTTCCTAGGAATCATTTGGAGACAAATACAATATGTCACATAAATTTTCCCGCAAACAAATTATTCGTTTGCTAAAACTTATTTACTCACGAAATGGTTTCACATTTCCCCACAAATTATGTTGTAGGCTGACACACCCCGCCCCGTGTAACACTATAGGATTCGGACGTGGCATGCGCCGATGGTAGATACCAACTAAAAGTCGGACCCACCATCAAAGCTACTATAAGTACAATATATCACTTCTTATACATCATTTTTCTAACAGAATTTTGACATTATCTCCCCTGTAAACAGGACTAACCAACTTGTGATCAATTTCACACAAATTCCAAACTATAACACAACACAATAAATATAAGTCGAAACCTCAACCTTTACCAATAAATAAAATGAAATATACATATGGATACAAAAAATATAGTGAGCCCCATAACTATCTACAAGTGATGCAAAATCACATCTAGACATGAACATGCATTCCAAAACATAACCACATGTTCTATGAAGTGAGTCATACTAACAAACTCTATCGTGTGGCTCCGACTCCAAAATCAATGCTTAACTCCAAAAGATGCCCAAATTCTCAACTGTTGCCTGATAAGGAAAAACGAGGAAAAATATATGAGTTGATAGCTCAGTGAGTGGAGAAATTCAAAATAAATATAATTTTTCATTTGTACATTTTTATTGAAAATCAAATTCATATCATTTGATAATTCATAAGCTACCATCATGTAATTATAGCCAAAAAGTGAATTATTCACATAAGGTCATAAAATATCATCTTAAAATCATTATATAAATATCAGCTGATAACCAGCTATAATATCATCACATCAAACGTACTAAAAAATTCACCAAAAATATACCCTCTAACTGAAATATATAATCCGCCCCTCGGGTTAAGAACTTTCTTCATGGACCTTTGGCTCCTCTATGAACGAAAGTCGGTCTCAAAAACCTCTCATAATCAATTCTAGAACACGGTCAAGACCCCTCAGTGAACTATATGTACACGGTCGAGACCCCTTCATCCCCGGTCCAAGACCCCTCAATGTAGTATAGAACACGGCCAAGGCCCCTCAGTGAACTAGAAAAAATATATAATCACAGTTACTTTTCTGATCGATCTTAAAATCATACCACATATTCCAATTCACAATGTACCGTATACATTCTTTAAAATCTCACATGTATCATAATAAAAGATATTTCCATAATAACCATATAATTCGAACACATAATTGCATATACTTACTCATACTTTAATACTTAATTTATAAATACTTTAAAAATATTTATATTTTTCCACTCACAGAACTATGTATGCCAAAATCAACTCAGTTGGTAAGCTGTCCCGATATCCGTATCGTCGCCGAAAATATGATATAATTTTTAAATCAATAATTAACTATTTTAAGAAATTTCATTAATTAAATAAGCGATACCCAAACTTAATTATTTCACGTTTAGTCAATTTCTAAAGTTTCTTTAATTACTAAAACTAATTTTTCTTTCATTTTACTCAATTTCCTAGTTTATTATACTTAACCCCTTCAATAAAATTGAATTTAATCTAACAATCTAACAACTATAATCAAACATAACTTTTCAATAAGTAACTTTTTACTTACCTTTCAAAATTGAGGAATTCAAGCCTAATAGTATAAAGCACTTTATTCCTAACACGTTGGTGAATTTTTTCTATTTTTTTTCTTTCTTCTCTTCCTCTTCTCTTCTGTTTTTTTTTTCTTTTTTATTTCTCTTTCTCTTGATTTTCTCTCTGGTTCGGCTTCTCTCACTTGTGTCTATTTGTGTGTGTAAGAAATGGATTATTATATCAATGAATTGGGTAAGGTTTGTCACTCCACCACCTGCAATTTTGTTTTTGTGTTTTGTCATTTTTTTGGGTCAAAGTATTACAAAACTCACCCTCTTAAAAGAATTTCGTCCTCGAAATTCAATTGACTAAACGCGGAAATCTGGGGATACTGAGAACGCATATGCTCTTCACTTTCCCATATCGCTTCTTCTATAGCATGATTCCTCCACAAGACTTTAACCAAGGGAATAGTCTTAGTATGCAAGACCTGTTCTTTTCTATCCAATATTTGAACTGGTTCTTCTTCATAGGTAAGATTTTCCTTCAGCTCTATTGGTTGTGATTCCAAAACATGAGATGGATCTGGAATATACTTACAAAGCATGAAAACATGGAATACATCATGAATTCTGGACAATTTCATTGGCAAAGCCAACTGATAAGCAACTGGACCAATGCGTTCAACAATCTCATATGGGCCAATATACCTTGGACTCAATTTACCTCGTTTACCAAATCTGATAACACCTTTCCATAGAGACAATTGCAGAAAAACTCTATCCCAACATCAAATTCAAGGTTTCTTCTGCGTCTATCTGCATAGTTCTTCTGTCTATCTTGGGTTGTCTTTAACTTTTCTTTAATTATCTTTACTTTCTTAGCAGTAATCTGGACATATTCGAGACCCAATAACTCTCTTTCACCAACTTCATCCCAACATACTAGAGTTCTGCATTTCCTACCATACAGTGCTTCAAAAGGAACCATTTCTATACTCGAATGACAACTGTTATTATAAGCAAACTCCATCAAAGGAAGATGAGTATACCAATTTCCTTTGAACTGTAGTACACAAGCTCGTAACATGTCTTCCAAAATCTGAATAGTTCTTTCTGACTAACCATCTATTTGTGGATGAAAAGTTGTACTAAAATAAAGTTTAGTACTCATAGCTTTCTGCAAACTGGGCCAAAATTTAGAAGTGAAACGAGAATCTCTATCTGAAACAATAGCTACTGGTGCCCATACAAACTGATTATCTCATCAACATATATTTTTGCCAATTTATCTAGCGAGTAGGTAACTTTAATAGGCAAAAATCTGGCAGTCTTCGTCAATCTGTCTACAACGACCCATATGCCGTCATTTCCACTCTGAGTCCGTGGAAGTCCAAATAGAAAATTCATAGAAACTTGTTCCCATTTTCAGTCAGGAATAGGCTACGCTTGTAACAATCCTGCTATTTTCTGATGATCTGGTTTCACTCGCTGGCAAATGAGACATCTGTATACAAACTCAGCTATTCTTTCTTCATTCCATGCCACCAGTAGTGTTCTTTGAGTACACGATACATTTTGTACTACATGGATGCGTTGCGTAAGCTGAACTATATGCCTCTTCTAGAATTTCTTCCTTCAATTTCGAATCATCTGGAACACATAATCTGTTTCCCATAACTAAAGCTCCGTCATCTCGGATGGTTTAATCTGTATGCTTACCGTTACCAACTTCTTCTTTCAATTTGCTCAACACTGGATCTTGAGTTTGAGTTTCTCTAACTGTATCAATCAAAGTAGGCCTCACTTGGAAGTTGGCAAACAATGCTCCTACACTGGTAATTGATAATTGGGCATGAGAAGCTCTAAACTCACCAAACAAGGATGAACATATTACATTAGTCTGGGTCATAGAACTCAATATTTTTCGACTAAGAGCATCAGCAACTACATTAGCCTTCCCTAGATGATAATCAATCTTGCAATCGTAATCTTTTATCAACTCTAACCATCTTCTTTGCCTTAAGTTTAACACTTTCTGATCGAAAATATACTTTAAGCTTTTATGATCTGTATATATCTGACATCTCTCACATACAAGTAATATCTCCAAATTTTCAAGGCTAGGACAACTGCAGCTAGCTCTAAGTCATGTGTAGGATAACTCAGTTCATGTTTCTTCAACTGCCTGGAAGCATATGCTATAACTTTCCCATTCTGCATCAAAACACAACCAAGACCCTGACGTGAAGCATCACTATATATCACAAACTCTTCACCGGGAGATGGAAGGGTAAGAACTGGAGCTGACACTAATCGATTCTTTAATTCGAAGAAACTTCTTTCACAATCTTCATTCCAGATAAATTTAGCATTCTTTCTAGTCAAACTGGTCAAAGGCAGAACAATTTTAGAAAACCCCTCTACAAAATGACGATAATAACCTGCTAAGCTAAGAAAACTTCGTATTTCTGTCACATTAGTAGGCCTTTCCCATTTTATCATTGCCTCAGTTTTCTGCGGGTCAACATAAATTCCTTTTGCTGGTATGACATGTCCCAAAATTACAACTTTATCAGGCCAGAATTCACATTTACTGAATTTAGCATACAACTGCTCATCACGTAGAGTCTGCAAGATGAGTCTGAGATGCTCTGTGTGCTCATCATGATCTCGAGAGTATACTAAAATATTATCAATGAATACAATCACAAATATGTCTAAATACGGGCGAAACACTCTATTCATCATATCCACAAACGCTGCTGGTGCGTTGGTCAACCCAAATGGCATCACAAGAAATTCAAAATGACCATACCTTGTCTTGAAAGCAGTTTTTGGCACATCACTGTCCCTGATTTTAAATTGATGATATCCAGAACGCAAATCAATCTTTAAAAATACTGTAGCACCTCGAAGCTGATCAAACAGGTCATCAATACGTGGTTAAGGATATTTATTGCGAATTGTCACTTTGTTCAATTGTGTGTAATCTATGCACAGTAGCATGGTGCCATCTTTCTTCTTCACGAATAAAACCGGTGCTCCCCATAGAGATATACTAAGTCTGATGAAATCCTTCTCTACCAACTCTTGCAACAAAACCTTTAACTCTTTCATTTCTGCTGGTGCCATTCTATATGGTGCCCGTGAAATAGGTGCAGTTCCTAAAATCAGATCTATAGTGAACTCCATATCTCCGTCTGATGGTAAGCCTGTTAATTCTTCTAGAAATACATCTAGAAAGTCTTTGACCACTGGGATGTCTTCAGGTTTTAGTTTGCTACCATCTGTATCAATCACATGAGCTAAATATGCATGACAGCCCTTGTTGAGCAATCTTCTAGCGTTAAAAGCAGATATCACACGAGACGGTAAAATTCTGCTCTGTCCATTGAATATAATTTCAAGCTGTTCTGGTTATCTACACAAAGCCTCATTTCGAAAGCAATGAACTGAAACTCGATTTGTTGCCAAAAAGTCCATACCCAAGATAACATTGAAATCATATATGTCAAGAGGTATTAAATTTGCCCTCAACTCATTCTCCTTTACCTTAATCCCACAACCTCGATATATATTGTTTGCTAATAGTGATTCTCCTACTGGTGTACTCACTACTAAACAACTGCCTAGAGGTTCTGACTTTTGATTCACATATAAAGCAAATGCAAATGAGATAAAAGAATGTGTAGATCCAGGATAAATCAAAATACAAGCATTTCTATCAAAAATAGACAACATACCCATGATAATATCTGGTGACTCCTCTGCTGCCTGCTAAGTTATAGAAAAAACTTTGCCCTGGGTCTTTGACCGTCCTGTCTGCTCTTTTGATTTTGTATCACTACTACTTGTGATATTAGACTGGGCTACACTGCTTGCACCTGTTCTATTAACTGAATCATCTCTCTGAGTCTGATTCTGTCTTGTACTACCAGCACTCTGTTGAGGAAACATCTTCGGTACCATGCCACTCTCCTGTGATAGAACTGGATAATTTCTTTTGATATGTCCACCTTGACGACAATGATAATAGACTCCGTTCCCTTTAAACTTTAAACACGTGCCGAGATGAGGTCTTCTACATAGTTGACAATAAGGAGGTCTAGTACTAGTAAAACTCTCGCCCTGTCTCGGAGTAAATAATCTTAGGGAAGAACCTTGAGTATAAGTACGACTAGCCAATGGCTGCTGTACAGTACTGGGACTAAATCTAGGGCCCTAACTTCCCCGTGATCGAGATTTGAATTGACCTGAACTGGACATACCGGGTCAAAATCCTCTACTGTCCCTCTGAGGAAGTCTATAGTTAGAAGCACTCACCATTGTCTGACTACCGCTTGCCCTGAACATTGTTTGTTCTCTACCACTTGGCCTATCAGAAATGCTCTTTTCTACTCTCAAAGTTGATTCAACTATAAACCAAATACATTCCAGTCTGCAGCTGTTACTATTGACTGAATCTCTTCCCTTAGCCCATTTTCAAATCGTCTACATTTATCAATTTCGTTGCTTACCAGAACTTGGGCATACTTTGAAAGTTCAATAAATTTCACTTGATATTCTACAACTGTCATCTGCCCTTTTACTAGCTTCAAAAATTCTTCCTGCTTTGCATCTTTATAGGATCGAGGGTAATAGGCATCATAAAAGATACGTCTGAATTCTGTCCAAGTGATGATGGAAGGGTCTCGATATGTACTCTGTACTGACTGCCACCAATCATATGCATCCTCCTCTAATAAGAAAGTGGCAAGACATAACCTCTGATCATCTGACCAACCCATAACATCAAATACCCTCTCCATCTTTGTCATCCATGCCTGAGCAACTGTAGGATCGGCTATGCTAGTGAACACTTTAGCCCCTAACTTTGTAGCCCTCTCAATACTGAAATCTCTGTCTATATTACGCATGGCAGATGCAACGGTAATAGCAATTCTTTCAACAGCCGTAGGATCAGTTCCAATCACATTTCCCCATCCCCGTTGTTCAGGAGGCTGGTGAACAGATTCTTCTACCCTTTCGAACTCTCTAGGTTCATTTCTATCAAGAGCAATGTGAGACCGGGGCAACATCTCTTGGAGCCTTCGAGTTTTGCCACCACGAAGCATGACTCACCTACAGTTATGCATGATAAGCTAAACATCAGAATGTATATATGTACAATGTAAACCTATGGACTCTAATACATGCTCTGATACAAAACTGGCACACCTCGCCTAGTGTAACACTATTGGATTCGGACGTGGCATACTCCGATGATAGATACCAACTAAAAGTCGAACCCACCATCAAGGCTACTATAAGTACAATATATCACTTCTTATAGATCATTTTTCTAGCAGAATTTCGACATTATCTCCCCTGTAAATAGGACTAACCAACCTGTGATCAATTTCACACAAATTCCAAACTATAAAACAACACAATAAAGATAAGCCGAAACCTCAACCTTTACCAAGAAATAAAATGAAATGTGCATATGGATACAAAATACATAGTGAGTCCCATAACTATCTACAAGTGATGCAAAATCACATCTAGACATGAACATGCGTTCCAAAACACTAACTACATTTTCGATAAAGTGAGTCATACTAACAAACTTTGTCATGTGGCTCTGAATCAAGGCTCAACTCCAAAAGATGCTCAGATTCTCAACTGCTATCTAATAAGGAAAAACGTGGAAAAATATATAAGTTGACAGCTCAGTGAGTGGAGAAGTTCAAAATAAATATAATTTTTCATTTATACATTTTTATTGAAAATCAAATTCATATCATTTGATAATTCACAAGCTACCATCATGTAATTATAGCCAAAAAGTAAAATATTCACATAAGGTCATAAAATATCATCTTAAAATCATGATATAAACATGAGCAGATAACTATGCTATAATCTCATCACATCAAAAGTACTTAAAAATTCACCAAAAAATGTACCCTCTAACTGAAATATATAATCTGTCCCTCGGCTTAAGAACTTTCGTCATTGGCCATTGGCCCCTCCGTGAACGAAAGTCGATCTCAAAGACCTCTCATAATCAATTCTAAAATATGGCCAAGGCCCCTCAGTGAGCTATATGTACACGGTCGAGACCCCTTCATCCCCGGTCCAAGACCCCTCGGTTTAGTATAGAACACGGCCAAGATCCCTCAATGAACTAGAAAAAATATATAATCAATGGTACTTTTCTGTTCGATCCCAAAATCATATCTTATATTCCAATTCACAATGTACCGTATACAATCTTTAAAATCTCACATGTATCATAATAAAAGATATTTCCATAATAACCATATAATTCGAACACATAATTGCATATACTTTAGCGATATACTTAATTTATAAAGACTTTAAAAATATTTATATTTTTTCACTCACAAAACTATGTACGCCAAAATCAACTCGGTTGGTAAGCAGTCTCGATATTCGTATCGCCGCCTGAATTATGATATAATTTTTAAATCAATAATTAACTATTTTAAGAAATTTCATTAATTAAATAGGCGATACCCAAACTTAATTATTTCACGTTTAGTCAATTTCTAAAGTCTCTTTAATTACTAAAACTAATTTATCCTTCATTTTACTTAATTTTCTAGTTTATTATACTTAACTCCTTCAATAAAATTGAATTTAATCTAACAATCTAACAACTATAAAATCAAACATAACCTTTCAATCAGTAACTTTTACTTGCCTTTCAAAATTGAGAAATTTAAGCCTAATAGTATAAAGCACTTTATTCCTAACACGTTGGCGAATTTTTTCTTTTTTCTTTTTTTTTTTTCCTTTTTTTCTCTTCCTCTTTTCTTCCTTTTTTTTTCTTTTTCCTTTCTCTTTCTCTTTCCTTTTCTCTCTGGTTCGGCTTCTCTCACTTGTGTCTATTTGTGTGTGTAAGAAATGGATTATTATATCAGTGAATTGGGTAAGGTTTGTCACTCCACTGCCTGCCATTTTGTTTTTATTTTTTGTCATTTTTTTTTTGGTCAAAGTATTACATAGGCTAAATTGTAATTTTCTATATAAATAAACTTTTGTGTGAAAAGAACATCTGTGGGCTAAAATACACATATTTTTTCCAACAATTAAAATTCGTGACAGCATGATACATATTATTTGGTGGGCCAAAGCCTATGTTTCTATGCAAATAATTTTTCATGGGGAAAACATATTTGTAAGCTATTATGAAATTAGTAGAGAGATATTAAATTATTTTTATAATTTATTTATTATTCATATTATAGTAATTTTCTTAACCTTATATAAAAAAAATAAATTAATCAAGACATTAGTGTCAATCGATGTAACATTAAATCTAAAATATTTCATCAAACCACAAATAAAAATTATTCACTAAGTATGGTTTCATCTAAACTTAAAAAGATTACAACAAACATGCTTTGTATCTATTATTAAGCAACTAAAAGATATAACTTTTCATCCTTGTAAATTAAATAAACAATTGATCGCATCAAAGTTTTTCTCTTCCTCCTCAATAACATCATCTTCCTCATTAGTATTATTCTCTATTGACAACGGTGTAAATGGAGGTACAACGAAGCCAAGAACTTTACCATATAGCTGGTGTATAGAATGATGTCAAGACTACAATGTAGAATTAAATTGTTGCTCAACAACCTTCAGCTTATTTTGAATTCCTTGTGTTAGATTTCGTGTTGGCTATTCTATGAACAAAAGGGTAAAATTGTAAATGTTCAAAAGTTGAAGGAGTCAAAGATGGACCAAGGAGAAAAATTCGTCTTAAAAATTGCTCGCCAATTACCTTGGAAGCACTTGACCAGAAATTTCAGCTAGGTTGCCACTTGCTGACTGTGCCTTGGATGCTTGAGCAGCCACGAGGAAGGCACTCGAGCAGCCGTGTCATCTGAGCAAAGTCCTGTTCGCGATTTTAGCAGTTTTTCTAATCCTATTCAACTTCAAACACTTTGATATTATAAATACTCAAGCATAGTCCGTCCCAAAGTGTGTTGAATCATTATTTCGTACAAGAGAACATGTTATTGAAGATCAACAACCCATTTCATAAATCTCTTGATTCAGCCCAAAGATCAGAACACAAAAGATCTAATGATCACACATTAAAAATCATTACTTCACCAATATGCTTTAAGAATTCTGAAGTTGGGAAGAAACGGTTGGAGTTTTAATTGTTCCAAAATGAAGTTCTTTTTGGTGATCCGCGCTGAGGGAAAATAAGTCCAGAGTTTTGGAAAGTACATGATGCACAATCAAAAAGGTTTTTCGGTGATTTACAGGGAAGGTGGTTGGAATTTACTAAGGTTTAGTCGTGTCTGGACTATCTTTTCTATTGGATTCCCCGTAGTTTTTTGATCCTCATGAAGAGTTCTTCAAGGGGTTTTCCTTTGTTATCAAATATTGGTGTTCTTTACTTTATTTGTTTTGATCTATATTGCATGATTGACACTTATTGTTTAATTTGAAATTAAACTTAATCATCTAGAAACAATAAATATATGACTTGCTGCTTTTTATTGGTTAATTAAATTCAGCATTATACACCTCTATGTATAGTTGGGTCAACGTTTGATCTAGTATATTTCAATCTTTACCAGTCATCGCTGCCAAATGACTGCGTATTGATATGCTAATTTTCATTCATTTGAACAGTTGGTGATAAATAAAAGACTTTGTTTTCCCAATCCTCCATGGGACTAAATACTTATTGAGTTTCCGAAGTTCTGTGAAGGAAAAATTGATTTTATGCTGTATTTACTTTGTGGTTAACCAACATCTTCGACAGGTTGATGTACTATTGTGTTTGGATTGCTTCAATGAGGGAAGATTTGTTGCCGGTCACTCTAGCCTTGATTTTGTGAAGGTCAGTTATACAAATAATTATGGAGATGCAGATGGAGATAATTGGAGTGACCAGGAAACACTACTGCTTCTTGAGGGGATGCAAATGTACAACGAAAACTGGAATCAAATTGCTGAGCATGTTGGTACGAAGTCAAAAGCACAGTGCATCCTTCATTTTGTGCGTCTCCCTCTTGGTGGTTCTTCGCTGGAAAACATAAATATTCTAAGCATACCTGGTTCGTCAATTGCACAGAGCCAAGATAATCATGGAATATCACATCCCCATTCAAATGGTAGCATTTCATGTTTTAGTATGCTGTATTTTACCTTCTGTGCACATTGAGTAACTTCTCCATTCCGCACTTACAATCTTATGGATTCAGGGTCCAGCTTGCAAGATGGTGATTTTGAAAATAAATTTCCTTTTGCCAATTCCGGAAACCCTGTTTTGAGCTTGGTAAATAGTTTCTCCCTTATTCATGCTTAAGCAATTTGTATATAACTCCCTACTCCTCACCAACTATTTATAGTCTCTCTATCTCTATCTCTATCTCTCTCTCTCTCTCTCTCTCTCTCTCTCTCTCTCTCTCTCTCTCTCTCTCTCTCTCTCTTGTCCTTTTCATATAAAATATAGTCATACATTTACACAATCACACAACCCCACACGCGGCTCAAGGATCTCCCTCCAAGAATCACTTCTTCCATCATTTTGAATTGTCAAGTGAAAGGTAAGTGTAGTGGTACAAATTGTTCTTTCACTAAAAAGGTGAGTTCGAGGCAATCGGAGGTAGATTTGCTTCCGTGGATGAAAATGAAAAATAATATAAATAGTTGAAGATTTTAATAATGTTCATTGTATTTTATTCTTAAACTAATTTTAAATCCTCGCATATTAAAAAAAAATTTTTTTATTTTTTTTTGGTTTATGAAAGTATTCTTTTACGGTACATTTATAATGATTCCAAAGGTAAAAATTTGGGTCGTTACATCCATAGTAAAAGTTTATCCTTATGAACAAGATTATAATAGCTTCCCAGCAAATACAAATCTAAATAGAGATTCGACAATAAAGTACCAGGATCGTGCCTAACTTTCTATGACAGTTATGCGCATTAACCATTTTACCAGCTTCTGAAAGGGAATTACAAACTTGTGTTCTTTTATAAACTTAATTCGGACACATGTTTCCGGACTTCTTTTATCATAAACAGTGTACCCGGGTACCAAGGGATCTAGTCTTGTAATTCAGAATTGAAACTGAAAAAATAGCAAAGTACCTGATCCTTGTTTACATCCTCGATGACAAAGAAGAGCTTTCATAGAACAAGAAGATGGCTGATCTAGATCACTGGAGTGACCATATTGTTCACTGGGATTATGAAGCATCCTTAAATTAGTATTGACGAAATATTGTATCAAATTTTTATGCCTTAAAAAAAGATGTTACACTGGCAAGAAAAGTTACATAAAGTTTTTGCATAGTACATCTTATTCAGTTGCTTAAACTGGTGCACAATGCAAAATTTCAAAATTTAAGTGCCTCAAAATTTAGTAAATGTCTTAATTAATAATGTTTGCAAATTGATTTGCATGGTTAATCCTAAAAATTTGCTTACTTGAACTGATTGCTATTGATGTCAAGCCAGCTTCCATGAAACATGCTAAATGAAATCGTGCACGTGTGTTTTTAAGACTCAAAATGTGTCCAGCAGTCGAAGCTTAAAGAAATGAGCGTGTAAAGCACATCCTCGGCCAAGCTTAGCACGTGGCGTGACTATTGACCAACCTGTCTTTAGAGTCCAGTGATGATATGAGACACCAATTATAATGGATTCTATTACAACTTATTCATCACTCGCTGATCTTTTGTAACTTGAGTTGCAAATAGCGAGACCAATTATGACGAATTCTCTTACAACTTATTCACTAAACTTGTATATGTAATATACCTTTGGCCTCTTAACTTACTCAGCTTTTACATTTTCAAGCTCTGATTGGATATCAGTAAATCTTTTAAGTAATTTATCATTTCCAGAATCTAAAAATCACCATTTCAATGGTAAGAAAGAAATTACAAGAAAACTTTATGTTGAAGTATGTGCATGAGAAACAAAAGATATTTCTTGAACAAACGTTTCTTTTTGGCAAGGGCAGCTTCAATTCTTGCCAATCGATCCTTCTTTAGAAATGAAAAGACAAACACTGATTTCTTCAAATAATCACTAAAATGGACGGACATGTAGGCACGTATAAGATTAAAAAAATAATAATAAAAAAATAAAAAAAATCATACAAGCGAGTACAGCAAATATCCAAGAATCCATCTTTGTATCCATTTCCTTAATTTATTTGAAAAAATAACATACTTACTACCCGTACATCTATATCTATGTGAGAATGAGGGATAATCCAATTGTACATTATTATTCACCAATGTGCCAGTGTGAAAATTTGAGAGATTGAGGAACGTGGACAATCACAATGAAGGAGAGGAACGGCCATAGAACTAAAGTACTGAAGCAGAAGAATTATGGTTCAATTTTATTTTATTTTTAAATTTAAATAGGGTTGGGTAGGGTGTAATCCAAAATTGATCCAACCCACAAACGTGTCAAATATTTTTCCACTTTTCCGCCGTAATTTTTTGCTTACAAACAAGTCAAGATATATCTTGTCCCTCAAATTTTTTGTCGAGAAAAATTACAAAAAATTTTGGACACAAGTCCTTCCACTATTGAAAATTTTGAAGCAAATCATAGCACTACAAAATGTCATTTTTGTGGGAAAAATGAATTTTGCCTACAAATCTCAATTTGTCAATGAATATTTTGTAGGGAAAACATAAATTTCTAGTAGTGGTGGGGGAACTCTCCTATAAGAAATCCATCGTATGTCACGGTGAAACTGTTAGTTCTACTCTCTTGTAGTTCTCTTTCTGGAATGATATTATGGGGCCAAATTTCCCTCTTATCAGATTTCATCATCCCAGCCTTCATCGCCATGTTAATAATTTCCTACAAAATCCAAATATTCTACAATCCAATCCTATCTTGAATAATTACCTTCAACCCACTGGTATATCTAGCTATTTTTTGATTTTCGGACTTTAATAGGTTGTTCCGCTCTGCCAATGGCATAAATTCATTGGTATGGTTCGATATTGTACAATTACCCTACGTGCAACCCAAGTACATGCTACACAAAATTTGTTCATAATTTGCAGGCAGAAATCTATCTATCATAGAGTGCTTCATCTTTATCCAAGTCTGAATCCGACCATTTTTCTATCTCCGATGAGCATTCTGTAATTGATTCCACCATACCGTTGCTACACATCTTAAACGGAACGCCACCATCATAACCATCTTGTCCTTCGAGGCATCCATAATTTCGAAAAATCGTTCAACCTCTAGCAACCAATCCAAGAAGTCCTTGATCTTCATATTACCCAAGAACGGGAGAATGTTTACTTTAAAGGTATTTTGGTTTTGATGATTAGGGTTAACCAACAGTGTTTCAAACTTCTCAAATTCTAATTTGATATCTTCTGCAAATCTCTGATTATTTCCTTTTCGAACTCCAGGCTCAGCGACCCATTCATTGATGTTTTCCTATTGTTCATTCTGCCCTTTGTTTCCAACAACCTGCAACAACAATTGATAGATCTCTCCGATCTAAGTAGTAAAAACGTCAATTGGCCAATTTTGAGAATCCATATTTGTTCTAGTAATTGGTACGTAACCCATGGTTATAAATAAAAAAATATAGAGATGGAAAAGCCGGCTCTAATACCACTTGAAGCAGCGTGAAACAAGGAATTTAAGGACCCAAATTTGGAGTCCACCAAATTATGAATAAAAGAAACTCATGAATTTTATTAATTGAAGGATGATCAAAAAAGATAAATTAACACTTTATTTATAAGGCTTGCATGAAAACCTAGTTTAAACAAATTAAAATTGACAGAAATAACACTAAAACTTTAAAAGCAATTTTTGAGTCTTAAGCGAACTCAGATAGCCAAGACCATCGAATGTCATAGCAAAGTAATGAATTCCACTTGTTCGAAGAAAATCCGTAAGCTTATGGGATCATTGTACAAGTAATAAGATTTGTGAGTTAAGAATATCGTTCCCACGAGAAATAAGGTCTAATATCTAGTTCAGTTCCTTTTATTAAATTCGAGCTAATATAAGATCAAAGGAGTTATTTCTTAGGTATTCTATACTAATTCTAAACTAAGAAAGCAAATAAAATATTAATCTAATATATGAATGTTTATATTGGAATTGTGAATCCCTCTATTGCCATTCAATTTAACTCTCAAATGTATAATCAATTTTCTTTGAAATAGTTGCACTGAGAAAATAATCATACAAACGAGCATACCCCTTTGCCATTTCATTTAATTCTGTTTGTCAAACTTTACTTGTAATTTGTAATACTAGTTGAAATTTGACATTTTGGTAATTTTCTCTTCGAATTTTGGGGTTTAGTTGTCTGTGTTAGATTCTTTATAATTATATTAAGCCTCTATTTGGTATCGATTAAAATCTAGATTTTAATCTAAGTCAAAATCAGCAATTAATTTTAACAACATATTTTATGGGTTCCAAAACTTTAGATCCGCATATTTTATCTATTTCTATCAAAACATTACATCAAAAAAAGGTTTTCTCAACAGCCAAAAAACGTTGCAAAAGACTTTTTGCAGCGTTTTTCCATGTGTTGCGAAGGTCGATGTTGTCATTGAGGGAAGACTTTTTGCAGCGTTTATTCAACGTTGCAAAAGACGGTCTTTTGCAGCGTTTAATAAACGTTGCTTTAGTTTTTTTTTTTTTGAATTTACACATCAATTTATATTAATTGATTGCAAAATTGAAAATGACACTTTGTGAACAAATTTTGGAATTGCATAAAAATTGATAACTTCATTACAAATTTTCGAATCAATACACTTGAACATAATACAATACCACCTAACTATTAAAAAAAAAAAAAAGAAAGGGACAATCACTACCTACAAAAATGCCTCCGTACAAAAATTTATCAACTCTTCGACCAATAATATACAATAACAACAAAAATGAACAATTACTACAAAAATTTTCAGTAGACAATTCAAATTGCACAATGTAATTTACAAATTGCATCATTCCTACCCCTCTTCCCAGGCACTTGTAATCCTCTTTCCAGAGATACCACTTGAGTTTCCACTTGCTGCCATGGGAGACCTGGCAACTTCAATAGTCAAGTAAGGTAATGTATCATTTCCCTTACATACAAGTGACCAAAACTAATATATCCAAAATTCAGTCAATCAGGAACCAAGGATGTTTGAACACTGTAATTGTGAAATTGCCTGTAAACGGGGAAAAAGGAAACAAGAACTGAAATTTAAATCCTAAGTATCATTAAAAGCGAAAAATAGTCAAAGTAAGATCATGAGTAAACTAAAACAGAAAAAATGGAAATAAACAGAACCTTGGCAGAATTAAATTGCTAAACTACCGTCCCAACAAATTCATGTAAAAATAGTTAGTATATACTATACAAAAGTTCCAATAAAAGTTAAAACAGAACCTGCCTGTTTGAATCAAATCCACCAGTAGACAACCTCTTCAAAGATTAAAGTTCCAATCTATACACCCCGCGCATGCACTGCACTCTACGCATGAAATACACGTTACACTTCACTTCAGTATACATAATGGACACACCCGAAACCCCCGCTATGCACGCGCTCACACTAATAAATGTACAGCATTTAATTCAGAAACATAAATAAGCGTCAATTAAATTCACATTTCATCAACGCCCAAAACACACACACACACACAATAAACACATTTCTCTTCGTAATTAACGAAAACATAACCAGTACCTGATTGAAACAACACTAAAGAGCTGTAGAAACATATAGAGAAGTTGAATCTAATATCAAAATGATCAGTATACATGCATCTACACGTCTATACATACAAAATGATGGAAGTGCTGGAAATGACTTTCCTATCTTCATGTTTGGCTTAATTCCACTAATCAAAATGATGTTATCCTTATGAAATCACAGAACTAAAATCACGGAACTCTATTGAAAAAATCAAAGAAATATAAAATAATCTACAGATATTTCTGGAATGAGAACTCATTCCTAATTAAAAATCAAATAATGATAATGAGGTGGTTGCTTTTACTTGTTGGCTATTGCCCAATGGTGAATTTATTAGTTCTATGAAAGCAATTCTTGTTTTGCTCAATTTAAAGTGGCTGCTATTGAAATGCTACAATGACTAAACGCAGTTAGACAAATAAATTCTGTGCACATCATAGGATGCTACTAGGTAAAATCTTAGAAATGATAGGTAAATTGATTGGATGCACATCATATGATGCTACAAGCAGAAACATCAATTATCACATCAGATTTTTTGTTAAACATGTAAGACCAATGACATTATTGTTCTCCAACAAGGCTGCCCATTGGGCATTTGAACCACTTTCCCACTGTATGCTGCAAGCACTCAAAAATCCAGAACAAAGAACATTTCAATCGAAAAGCGAGGAGTCAAGAAAAAAGAAACACAATAGAATTATGTTTTATGACCATGGTATGTTTTCATTTAACAAGATATTAACCAAACCTTATTGGCACAAACTTAGTTAACTTCACAGGAAATGCCAGAAAAAAAATTACAAACTAAAACAAATTGAGTGCCACAACATTTCAAAAATGCTAAATAAAACTCAACATTTTCACCCACCGATGCTGAAATATAAATAGGAATTTCCAGGAGATAATGCAAAATTAAGTGAAATATGTGCATTCATAAGTGATGTTGGCAAAATTAAGTGAGATATGTGCATTCCTAAGTGATGTTGGTAAATCAGTCTTATTGTCCCCAAAAAGGTCAAATGGTAAATTTTCTGAATGAATTCATGAGGCCTGTTTTGAATATCCTCCATCGTGCATAAATAAATGTCTCTAGGTGTAAGTATCCAAAGTTTCACGAGTACAGAATAAGGCTAAAAGGCAGCCTCTGAACCAGCAAATTATAGATTTTGTGTATTGAAATTGCAGCATATATCCACCAAAGTATTCCTTCCCTAACAATTTATATGAATATACGCACATAAAATTGATCTCAATAGCACCTATGATCTAAAAGAACTCAACTTATCGTCAACCAATTTAAACACCCAAAAAAAAAAAAAAAACCTCAAATTCCAACCCTACCTGATCTCACCACTGCTGGCATCAGCTGCAGTATCCGTTTCCAGAGCCGCCGCCACTAGAGTCGGACCAGAAACCGTCCCTGAACCCGCCGCCTGCAGAACATGTAATTCATTCAACCCAAATGAAAAGGAAAAAAAAAAGGAAAGAAAGAAAGAGAAAAAAAACCTACTTTCACTAGATTAATCACACCCCATATTCAACGAAAATAGTGCTAAAACTTTCAAAAATCAGCAAACTGGCATCGACAATTTGGTGAGAAAATGAGAGAAGCGGAGCTCGTGGGACTGTAGGCAAGAAAGAGAGATGGAAGATAGGTTAGGGCACCGTGGAGATGGAAGACTCTGTTTGTAAGACTTGTGAGTGGCTGTTGGGACTTGGGGGGTGAAGTTGAGGTTTTTTCTTCATTTCGCAACGTTAATTGAACGTTGTGAAAGGGGGAAGTTTTCGCAACGTTCAATAAACATTGCAAAAGGGAATTTTTTTGTAACAGCCAACAAACGTTGCAAAAGGTGAGTTTTAGCAACGTTCGTCAAATGTTGCTATAAAATTAACTTTTTGCAACGTTTAATAAACGTTGCAAAAATTAAAACTTTTTGCAACATTAATTAAATGTTGCGAAAGGCGGCATTAGCAACATCTACTTACAAAATTTTGCCAAAGCTCAATTATGCTAATTAATGGCAACATTCGCTTATTAAAATGTTGCCGTAGACCCTTTTAGCAACATTTAACTACCGAGTGTTACCTTTTACGTGTTGCAAATGATGATTTTTGGTGTAGTGAAATCTACTAAAAAAATTATTTTAGGGGTTGTTTAAGCCCCATTTTTCTCCAAAAAAAATGCATTTTGAAATAGTGTTACGATAAAGAATGTGTGGTTAAAAAATAAAGAAAAGTTTTAGATTTGCACAAACTATTATTTTATTGAGAAATGTGTGGTTGAAATGTTGTCAAGTAATTGTTGAAAAATGTATTTTGATGAAAAAATGGGGCTCAAATGTGGGTTTAATCTCCATCAAACAAGCTAAAACTCTATACAATAATACTCAAAATATAGGGCCCTAATTTGAAATTGGCATAAGGCCCCCAAAATATCAGAGTCAATCCTGTCTTCAACTGAAAGTTTGGTTGTCCAAAAGGTGGATAAACTCTACTTTATTGGCTCTGAATAATTTGTGGAGTCATGAAATCTACAATTATCATGTTCCGTTCATCTACCACAATCCCATCGTTCACTTAAATAATTGAATTAGTACGTGCATTAATGATCTCTTACTGTTGTGCTTCTTTTTGTCCATGGTAAAAAGTACATTCAATTTCCAAATCAGCTCGTATTAGATCACTGTCTCTCAAATTTCATATAAAATGTCTGAAAGAGAAAATAGAAGTACAAAAATAAATTGATAAAGAAAAAATAATAAATAAATAGAAAGTTCAAATTAGTGACAAGATAAATAAAATTAAATTAAAATACAATCCCAAAAAACGGTGCCAAAAATTTGTTATACAAAATTATCTTTCAAATTAAAATCACCTCAAGTGTACAATTCATTAACAAGTAATAAAGTGGATTTGAGTCTAAATATCGTCCCACAGAGATTGATTTAATTCGACATTAATTATCACGATCTTAACCGAAACAATAATAATATAATGCATTTGTTTGTGACTAAATAATAATTAAAATAATCTATTTATGCAATTATAAATGAATTAACTAAACTAAATGTAAATTATGCAAAATGCAAGTTGTTGTGTTCTAATGTATGACAAATGTACTAGAATCGTGAATTCCGATGCAACAATCCATTTTTAACCTTAGTTCCACACTTTAACAACACGGTTGAATTTTAACAAATCAATCTCTCTCGAGTAATGTCAAATATATTCTCATATGTGAGCCAACTATATTTTTATGACGGATTCGAACATACAAAAATACATGAATTCTTGTGAACACTTAAAGATTCACATAGAGTATAGCGGCATATTTCTATTATGTATCGGATCCTATGACGATTTATACCATGTCAATCCTATTTTCTCTCCTTTCGAATGCATAAAATAAGCCACCGTATTCACACAATTACCGTGCACAATAATTGTGGAGAAAATAAATTCATAGAAATCATTTAAAATCCAAAAACATATTACCAATGTCAAATATATAAAACAAAATATTAAAAACACATATTACAATGTTCATCATTCTCCTAACACACAATGAAATCTAAACAAACATGTTTTGAGGATGAAAATAGAAAAATATAAATGTTGTTTATCTCCTGGAAAATCTTGAATTCAATCTTGATGTTCTTTAATCTTGATGTGTTCCTTGACTCATTTTGCAATTGATTCTAGACAACCCTAATTATGTGTTGAGAGTTGGCATTTATAGTCCTTCAAAAGAGTCCCAAAAGATATCTAAAAATCATGCATATCATATGTCAAAAAGAAGTTTCCTCGTTGGAATTGAATTCTGAAGAAAACTGAATTTTCGAATTTGAATTGGCCTGGACCGGCGCCCAATATAAAATGAGGCAACTACCCAAGTATATAAAATAGTTCCTATAATTGAGGTCAAGATCCGGGCAGCTACCCAGTTATAAAGACTTCTAATGTTAAATTACTTCGATTTTGGTCCTTCAACTTTTCTTCAAATGCTTATTTGTCTCCAAATTTCCGTCCATTGGCCGTTTGATCAACTTTCCTTTCCAATTGCTTAGAAACGAGTCCAAAACTAAAACAAGATGAGATTACTCTAAGTAAAATTCATTACCAAAACAACACGAAAACTTATAATATAGTCCAAATAAGTGCCCAAAAATGCACTTATCATAAACAAAATGAAAATACGTGTTCATAAATTAAAAATATCTCAATTATTTCACTAACGAATTATTTTAATAACATAAAAAGTTAATTCCTATTTTTAACAAAATAATATTAATTATAGTAATGCATTTTTTGACGTTTCATTCTATCATTGCTGTCACTACTTGCAAACCAGCAATCAATAACATTTTTTGTTGATATTACTGATGGAATCTACGAATAAGTTATCGATGAATTAGTAATTTATTTATTTAAAAATATAAAAAGAAAAGAAATTCTTCCATTCCACGCCATGTTAATTTTGGCCGTCCTCTTTTTTTAAATTCTGCTGCAATTGTATCATTTTGACAAGATTTTTCCTAAGTTGCAGCAAATATGCCTTAATCTCTTTTATGTCCTTTAGTTAGGTTATTTTCATCTTGTGCTTCGCGTATGTATTGACTTATATTTTTATTAATTTATGTTATTTATTCTAGTACGACTATCTCTCTATCTTAGCATGTTAATTTCTATTACTGCATCTTTAACATCATGTCTTTTATTAATAGTCACACACTCAACACCCAAAATGAAAATTAATACAGTATTTCTTTAACTAGATTACTAGAAAGGGGGGCAACAAAGACAGAATTCTAGCAACAAACATCTTCCGTTGCTATTATCAATTAATTAACAACAAATTAGCAGTGAATTATTATTTTGATATCTTTAAGAATTAATTTTGATTTCCCGACAAAATTACCAATGGAAGAATCCGTTGCTAATTTGTTGGTGAAAAAATAAATAATAAATTAAATATTTTATCAGTAAATTTTCCAACAGACTATCACTACTAGAAAAGACTATATAAAACAGTTGTACTAGTATAGAAAAATATGAGTCCGGCTCTTATGTAAAGTCACAACAAAAGTTAGTATATTGTGACTACTCATTGCTATTGTCCACGAAAAAATTAAGTAATGGAAACAACATGTGTTCATAATTCCATAATTAATTGATACTAATTGAATAACTATTGGTCTATAAATATTTTTATACATAGATTTTTGTTTTTCTTTTAATGCATAATTATTCCATGTTCATTTTTTCTAATGACATACCCTTTGTTCGAGGAGGATGTATACATCTTTTCGGACTTTTTCTAGTCTTGTTAACGACTATCAAGTTGTAGTTATACAATTATTTCCATGTCTTTTTTCTTCAATGTTATAATATAATTTTTTCTTAACCATGCAACAAAATTTGAAATAGATCAGTTGACGTTGTTTTTATAAAAGAATATCAGTAATGTTGTGATCATGCTGTTGGATAACTTATCTTCAATTTCTTTGAAATATATTTTGTGTAATTTTCTACGTAATTTGCTGTATTTTAATGAATCACGAAACTGTTTATTTTAAGATGGAATTCTTCTTCTTCTTGCTTACCAAGCTATGTAAAACAAAGAGAAAAATCTTAATTTTCTATACTTTCAACGTGAGCAAAATCCAAGAATTTCTATTGTTCTTTCAGTAGATCTTTTGACCAATCATTTTGCAATTGTATTATTGAATTCATATAATCACACAAAAAATTAATGAATTCTACTAAGAAGGTGTTTGGGAGACATTTTTATGTAAAAATGCATTTTTGAATAGTAAATTGATGGAAAATGTGTGGTTGAAAAATAACGAAAAAAATTTTGTTTGCGTGTAATATTATTTTAATAAAGAATGTGTGGTTGAAAAGAAGAGAGAAAAAAATACATTTTAAAAAAATTGGGTATCAATCGAGGCCTAAAATTGTATTGTTTTGGTGAATAATAATTTCTTAAGGTTAATGCAAAACTTTAATTAAGTCAATATTTCCTTCATTTTTATGTAGACTAACTGTGTACTATCTTTACATATTAAGAGATCTGTGTCAAAATAGACACGTTCATTTTATAATAAATTATTCTGTCTCAAAAAGATCTAAGCTTGTACCATAAGTTGTAACCAATAATAAATAATAATCCTAATAATAAAACAATTTATGGAACTTATCTCTTAACACCTACAAGGACATCACATCATCATTGTTTTCATTATGACAAAAACAACATGAAAAAGGCTAGATTCAACCTCGTCAATATCATAAAAAATATTCTTCTGAAGAACCATATTTCAATTACTCATGCTATGTAGTAAATCAATAATAACAATAATAATAAAATATTATTATTATAGTCAGTACAGCTCATACTTACATAGTAGGACATGATGCGAATCTATAGAAATTAAATATTATCTATTATTATCGTCACTAGATCTCGTAATTGGTACAACAATATTCTAAACTCATATAATAATTTCACATATTCAATCAAAATTTTCATACAATCTATTTATAATTTATAGCAATCAACATCATACATAGATTAATATTTTTACAAAACTACCATATCTATCAAGAGATCTATAAGATTTAAGAATTCTCTAATGTAGTAGTGGTTTCAATAATTGTTTAATACGCCAAAACTAAAAGAAATAAACTCTTTGTTTAAGATGGCCTCCTTAGTACTAATGGCCACCCCAATTATTCATATATGCTCGTAGCTATTCATAGTCAGGGACTAAAGTAGTTATCCAACATAACAACTTGTTATTTGAGGTATTAGGCTCCTATAATTCTATTGTCTCAAATAAAAAGCTAATACCTCAAATAAGAAATTACCACATAAGATTTTACGACAGTAGATGACTAAGAAAATCACGTATTTAATAATTACGGAATGCATATAAAAATAGAGGAAATAACCATCACATTTTATGTCACTAGTTTATAAATGTTTGTTTAGTTTAACATAGTACATTTAAGGTCGTGTTGAATGTGATTAATTTGCTAAATCTTTCACGTATCAATATTAATAACCTGAAATCTATTTTGCACATTAATTATGAAAAATAATTCAAAACGTGCATATAATGAATCAATTTAATGTCCCAAATTAATAGCCTTGTCATTGTTTAAAATATGAATGATTGCAATACTCACCGTCAAACCTCCGGCAGATTGATCATGTCTTATGGTTTATATTGACATGGAAATGGAAAGAAAATTGATGCATCAATAGTTTACGATGTTTGATTTAATTAAGAATATTGAAGAAAAAAATTGAACTCTAGTTGGCTTTTTGCAGATAATGAAATTTCAAGAATGGGGGAGGAAAAAACTCTCAAATTATATAAATTGTTTCCTTTTGCACCAATACTATCCTAACACAAATTAATCAAAATTTTTAAGAATTAAAGATCAATGAAGAGATTTCTCACCCCCAAAGGGCCCGAATGTTCAACCACAAGGGTCCACTCCCCTGTATCCACAAGTGGATAAGGCTAAAATACTACCATAAAATAATTACAATTAAGATCCGAACTTTAATTCTACATCAAGAAACCCATTGGTTTCCCACAAAAGAAGAACATCGCAATCTCATAGTATTCACTAAGGACTGTCACTCAATACGAAACAACTCCAAGTTAGTTTAGCAACCTCATCACATAGCCAAACTCTCAATTGAATGGAGACGAACTACAGGGTCAAGAGAATGAGAGATTCTCGTAGAAAAGAAAATAAATGAACGTGAAAGAGCATCTAAGCAATTAACCCAAGAATAAGGATAAAAGGAACAATATAGAGGCCCTCATCAGACGGTCATCACGATGTCACGGATGGTTTGTATAATCAAAGTTTCGCTTATATAACCAATGGCAACATCTTGCTATACATAGTTGATCCTCAATCTTTCTTGGGTGATTCACATTTAGTCCCAACAACCTCCACATTCATGCACACACTAATATCTAAGTGTTATACCTCTCCTTGTTTCATATGTTCCTTACATGTACAAATCCATCAGGACAAATGTTTAGGGAAGTTAAGCAATTTCTAAACTTCCCAAGTGTTAACACCATAACATTCAAGAAGCAGCTTGAATTCTATAGCGATATTTTATAATTTAATCAAACCTATAGAGATTATATCTCCCTTGAAATGAAATTTAACATCTATACACTTTTTTTTGCCGTGAAAAGCTGAAGTTTACTTTAAAAATAGAACATTCGCTAAGAGAATACAGCATAACATCCTCATTAAGTAACAAAGTTCACAAAGCAAACATCACAACCATAAACCAACTTTTACAGCTTCAATGTGGCTACAATAAACTTAGCCTCAGTTGAGGATATAATTACAGTTTTCTTTAGCTGGGATATCAAGCAGATACAAGAGTTACAATGGGTAAACACACAATATGTATTGACCTCCTAATATCCATATCCTCAGCAAGGTCTAAATGAGGAAATCCCTCAAGTTTTACACCTTCTTTACTCTGTTTATACATCAAGCGCACATCATTATCCTTTAAGTACTTTAACAGCCATTTCATAGCAATCCAGTGTCCATTGCCTGGAAATGAATCTGCTCAAGACACTGACATAAAAAACAAAGAGAAAATCTTGATTTTCTACACTTTCAACGCGAGCATAATCCAAGAATTTCTATTGTTCTTTCGGTAGATCTTTCGACCAATCATTTTGCAATTGTGTTATTAAAGTCATACAATAACATAAAAAAATAATGAGTTCTACTAAAATTGTATCGTTTTTTGAATAATAAATTCTCTGGGTTAATGCTAAACTTTAATTAAGTCAAAATTTCCTCCATTTTCTGTTGACTAATTGGCAATATATTTACGTATAAGGATCCATTTTAAATAGGTACATTCATCTTATAATGAATTATTCAGTCTCTAAAAATTCAACTCTCATACCATAATCGTAACCAATAATAATAAAGCAATTTATGGAAATTGTCTCCTAACACCTATAAGGACATCATATCATTATTGTTTTGATTATGACAAAAATATCATGAAAAATATGCTTTTGAAATAGTACTTAAAGAATCATATTTCAATTAATTGTGCTATATAGTATATCAGTAATAATAAGAAATATTTTTATTACTGTATTTAGTACAGCTCATACTTACATAGTAGAACATTGATGTGAATCCATAGAAATTAAATATTATCATCGCTAAATCTCATACTTGGTACAGCAATACTCTAATCTCATGTGCTATTTTCACATATTCAATCAAAATTTTCGTACGAATTATTTATTATATATAGCAATCAACATCATACTCATGCACTTATACATAAATTAATATCTATCATGAGATCTATATAATTTAAGAATTATCTAATGTAGTAGTGGCCGAAACTATTGGAAATAAACTCTTTGTTTAAGATGACCATCCCAATTAATATATATGCACCCCCAAGGGACCACTATTAGTTAAGCGCCTTTTTATCAATTTAAAAAAAATGTTAATAATCCATGGAAAATGATACAATTTGACCAACATGGTTTAGGATTAAAAATCACGCGTGTGTTTAATGTTAATTATAGAATATGTATAAAAATATAGCAGTTAACTATCACCTTTTATGTCTTAAATAGGTACATTCATCTTATAATGAATTATTCAGTCTCTAAAAATTCAACTCTCATACCATAACCGTAACCAATAATAATAAAGCAATTTATGGAAATTGTCTCCTAACACCTATAAGGACATCATATCATTATTGTTTTGATTATGACAAAAATATCATGAAAAATATGCTTTTGAAATAGTACTTAAAGAATCATATTTCAATTAATTGTGCTATATAGTATATCAGTAATAATAAGAAATATTTTTATTACTGTATTTAGTACAGCTCATACTTACATAGTAGAGCATTGATGTGAATCCATAGAAATTAAATATTATCATCGCTAAATATCATACTTGGTACAGCAATACTCTAATCTCATGTGCTATTTTCACATATTCAATCAAAATTTTAGTACGGATTATTTATTTTATATAGCAATCAACATCATACTCATGCACTTATACATAAATTAATATCTATCTTGAGATCTATATAATTTAAGAATTATCTAATGTAGTAGTGGCCGAAACTATTGGAAATAAACTCTTTGTTTAAGATGACCATCCCAATTAATAAATATGCACCCCCAAGGGACCACTATTACTTAAGCGCCATTTCATCAATTTTTATTTATTTTTAAATGTCAATTATAATCCATGGAAAAATGATACAATTTGACCAACATGATTTAGGATTAAAAATCACGTGTGTTTAATGTTAATTATAGAATATTCAAGAGTTTATAATGTTTGATTTAATTAAGAATATTCAAGAAAAGAATTGAACCGTAGTTAATTTTTTGAAATTCCAGAATGGGGGAGAAAAAAAACTCGCAAATTATATTAATTGCTGCTTTTTGCACAGATAATATCCAAGAACAATAAATTAATGAAAATTGTAAGAATTAGTAGTGAATGAAGAGATTTCTCACCGAAAGGGTCCCAATATTCAACCACAAGGGTCTACTCGCTCGTATTTGTTCATAAAAATATCTTTCGATCTAAAACCGCTGCAAGTATATGGTTTGTTAACAAGTAATAAAGTGAATTTTGAACCTAAGTATCATCCCACAAAGATCGATTTAGTTTGGTTTTAATTATCACGTCCTTAGTAGAAACAAGAATGTTAAGACGTGATTGTTGTGATGAAATTATAACTAAAGTAAGTTGCATCTGCAATTATGATGAATTAACTAAATTAAATGCAAAGTATGCTAAATGAAAGTTGATGTGTTTAAATAAATGACAAATGCATTAAAATCCTGAATTCCCATGCAATAATTATTTTTAACCTTAGTTTTACACTTTGACAACATGATTGAATTTTGAATAACCAATGTTCCTATTTTATTCAATAATCTCTCTCGAGTAATGCTAAAATACTCTAATACATGACCCCGACTATATTTATATGATGGATACGAACATATAAGAATGAATGAATTTTTATAAATACTTTAAGATTTATTCACATAAGTCAGAGAGGTATAACTCTATCACCTATTAGACCCTATGATGATTTATATCATGCCGAGCATATTTTCCTTCTTTCGAATGCATAAGATAAGCCATCATATTCGCACAATTACCGTGTACAATAATCGTGTAAATTCATATAAACCATTCAATATCCAAAGCGTGTTTTTGATGTCAATTATGGAAAACTCAAGATTAAAAATTCATATCAGATGGTTCATTATTCTCCTAGAAAAAATAAATCTAGCCTAGTATGTTAGGAAGAAGAAAACAAGAAGAATATTAAAGAAATCAAATCACCAATTTAGATCTTGAATTGAATCTTCGCATCTTGGGACTGATCTTCATGTTTCTTGTCTCCTTCTACACTCTAAAAATCCTTATGAATGTGTTGGAATGCGTAATGAACACTTAGGGATGGCTCTAGGGCTTTAAAAGATGTCCCAAGATTTGTTTTCATAAGAATTTTAATCAAATAAGGAAAATTAGATTTTTCCCGCTAGAATTGTACTATGCTATAGAAGAGTGCAAATCAATGTTATAGCATAGTTCAATGGAATTGAGCCTTGAAATTTGCTGAAAATCACCATGCGACTGCACGGAAAACCTGCTATGCGACTGCATTGTGTTGATAAGATTCCAAAAATTACGTTTTAGTCTCCAAACTCCGTTTTCTTGATTCTTGACCATTTTTCTCATTTCTTTTTCTTCCAATACTTTATGTCTTCGCTAAATTGATCCTTGACTCTTTCATATCTTTGTTTCTACTTTCGAGTCATCTTTACTTTGGTCCATAAACTTTGGTCTTTTCCATTTTGGCCCTTTTCACTTGTTTTTCCCAAATTCCACCATATTCATCAATGTTGTCTTTGAAAACATAATTTATATAGAATTAAACCATATTCCAACATAATTACTAACAATTATTCATGTTTTGTGGACTAAATAAGCGTGTAAAATGCACTTATCAAATCCCTCAAACTTTAAGTATTGTTTGTCCTCAAACACAATTGTGGCTTAACTCCACACAAAACATGGTTTGACAACCTACCACATTTTAGGATTGGATTCAATAATCAACATAATGAATAGCTTTAACAATGCAAAGTCAAGTCAGCCTCTACCTATTATTTACATAACTCAACATATATGTGTGAACTCATGTAAAGATATCGAGCTCATAATTGGTTCAACTCCTGACCGCAGCAATCAAATATCTTCTTTCTTCGCTCCAGATATACACACCCACCAAATGTCTGGGGACTTGATCAATACAACAGTATCTTTCCTCACGTATTCTTTTTTTTTCTCCTTTTTTAACATCTTCTTGTTCACTTTCTATATAACCTATGTATCGAGTTTTAGGTCGATAACTCCAAAATCAGTCGACTATAGGGCACTAGATTTTCAAAAACTCTTACAAACTTAATCACTCGAGTTATAAAAGCTCAAGAAGATGATTTTTTCTTAACTTCTACCCCTCTTGCTTTTTATGTGACCCTTTAACGAGTTTTGGGACGATGACTCCCAAATCAGTTAAGTTTATAGCACCAAGTTTTCTAATACATTTATAGGCTTATTTGCTCGAATCATAAAGACTCTGAGAGAAGTGTTTTTCTCGCACAAATTTATGCTATGTCCCTTTCCTTTTAGACATATAGTTTCCAAAACCAAGCCCTAACTTAAGATTTTTACCTCATTTTCATCTCATTGATTTTAAACAATCCATACAAAATAAATTCATGCACGGATCCCCTATTCATCTTAATGCTACCCTATAACAACTCAGTCATCTCCAAATCACCAAAACAATGGATTATGGATAAGAACAATAGTGGTTTTTCGGGTTTAACCTATTTTGTTCAGCTCACCTCTAAATAATGAACCCAATCACCAATTTGACATGTAAAACATGAGTGTTGTGCATAGAGAATGTCAAATTCCACATAAACAAATAATGGTTAATCTAATCATGCATTGGTTTTACTACTCCTAGTCCATATATATTCCAAGGCAATGGTATCAAACTCACACAAACACATAAAACAATAAACAACTACAAGAAAATAAGTAAAGACTACAAAATTTTTTCATACGATCGATCATACAAAAAGTAGTGAACTATACACAAACATCGATGAATGTCAACGATGTCGTGAAGATTATGTCACCCCCTAAGTTTATATAAAACACTGCCCTCAATGTAAAAGCAAAAGTAATCAAAAGAAATTAGTAAGGATCAAAAACTCTCTGGGATAGATGTGAATAGGCAGAAGGATCAGGCTGGTCGGTTAGTAGATGTCATGACAACCACTATTTTTCTTTTTTGCTAGACTTCAATTTTCTATTTCAAGATTTCAAAATAAATATAACTGATAGCAAATAAAGTTTAAATATTTGTAATGTAGTCACACCAAGAAGAATTATAATCTTCTAATATTGAGATGATTGAAATATAGGTGCAAACTTTAGAAATCATATCACATCAATATAAA